TGTAAGACCTTGTTTTATTCGTCGACTTTGTAAGTGTGTTGTTTACCCATTGTTTTAAAGATGACCCTGAGTGTGTACGGTCGGGCGTTGTACGTTAATTAGACGGAATGTCGAAATAGTACTTAATGCACCGAACAAACAAAAATAAGTTTTCTTTTTATCACTGTAGTCTAAAAAAATTTTGTAGGAAAAGTTTGTTTGACGTTGTTCAAACAAAAAATTGCGGCGGATCTTTATTAGACTCAACTGGTACCTGACACAATTATAAACTGTAGTGTCTTCAAAATATTTTCTTATTGTAGGACTTTTGAAAAGTCGTTACCAAGGAAACTCTTGGGACAGAAGTAAACAGTAGTACATTGTAACTCCCTTGCAAAATATTTTCTTTGTAGAAGTTACAACAATGGGTTGTTGCAGGTTTTGTTCAGAATCTTCAACGTCCGTTTTGAAGGTGGAAACCAATTGTTATTAGTTAATTTCCTTGTAAAATATTTGGACAGACGAGTAGGTTCGGAGTTATTTAGGACTTTTGTAAAAGTCTTACATAGAAACGTCTTACCAGAAGTTAAAACAATAGATAGCATTGTAACTCCCTTGTAAAATATTTGTGAAAGACAGGTGGAGTCCGAGTTATTAAGGGACTTTTGTCAAGTCTTACAACGATAACTTTTAAAGAAGTAAACAATATACATTGTAACCTCCCTTGCACATATACATCTCCCCAAATGGTTTGAAAAGTCGGACGGCGTGGGGTTTTATCGTCACGGTCTCTGACCGTGGGGTACCTGCCCCCCACGATGACTTAATTAAAGCAAAAGGCGTGGCGGGAGCAACGCCCCTTAATAGTCTATAGGCGGGCTTTTAAGATACGTTCAATAATAATTATTATTTTTATATATAATAAATTTTTATTTATTAGAATTTCATACATAATAAAATTAAAAGTAAAATAAAAACATAGGTAGGCCTGGGGGTGAACCTTTGGGACATTTCTGTAGAAAATTTAACACAATCGTGTTCAGTTTTTTTGTAGATCTACAACGTCGTTTGCCAGTGGAACAAATTGTATAGTGTAATTCCTTGCAAAAAACAAATATTCTTGTTAAACAGTAGAAAGTCGGAATTATTGTAAGGAGACTTACAACGTTGCAAATTTGCAAAACAGAATCAATTGGAATTTGGAATATATTATTAGGATTTTTAAAGAAACTTGTGTCTAAGTTTTGCAAAGAAATTTTGGATAATCTTGGACATCCATTGCAATCGGGTTTCAACCCGTCTTGCAAGGGGCGATCGACTGTACTAGCTGAATAGATACTACTAGACAACGACAACAGGTTTGTTGTTGTTAATTGGTCAAATATCTCAACTTCCGCCTTTGTAATCGTTCCCTGCTCTACGTTTATCTGTGTAAACATTAAAAAGGTTCTCCTATATGTGTAACAGATTAATTTCATACTAATAAAGTCCATCGTTGTTACGTCAAACAATTTTAGACGAAACCTTTGAGACTTACTAAACTTTTCTCCTAGAATCTTAAGTTCGTCTGGACCTAAATTTAACAGTGTTCTTCTCGGTCTATAAAAGTACTAAACCTCAGGGAGTCGTCCGTCTCGTGTTTGGTCACCCTTGTCTACTACCTCTATGAAGCGGTTGTCACGAGCTCTTATGTGGCACCTCACAAACTTCTGTAATGTCCTGACTCTAGCTCCGTCTCCAACTGTTTCGGGGAGACGAAGCTTGAGTTTCCATGTGTTTCTTCTCTCTTTATTGAACGTAGGTATTTGTATAAAAGTATTTGCAAAGTAGGTTATGTAAATATAAGTAATATTTTTCTTAAACCACAGTAGTATCACTTTATATTTCTTCATTAACCCTGTCCCAATTTAAGTTTGTTAATTTACTAGTTTCCGTGGTAACAGAGTTGATTTGTAGAACACCAAATTTGTACGATTCTGACACTGAAAAACTACTACATGTAAGTAAAAAAAAGAAAATTCATTCACCCGGAAGAATTTCAAATTATAAAGTATAGAAAGAATACAATTTTATGCAAACGTTAAGGGTCATTAAATTTATATAAAAGAGAGAAGTCTCTACGATGAGGACCACTACTTGTAGCTGGACGTGTCAGGCTCCCTCACCAGACTGAAATCGTGTTAGTGTCGAATAGAAGTTATCTACTTGTCACAATTGCGTATAGGTAGCTGCGAACTTCGTATTGTAATATTACATTTGTTTGTTAAAATTCAACTAGAGAAGACAGTTTTACTAAAAAGAGGCACTACAGGCACTAGTTTATCGTCTCGAAGTCAGCTTGTGAGTATAGTTCAAACGTAAACACTTCTTTTTCCGTTTTTGTATAATATAGTCTTGTTCTACAATCACACAGAAACTGAACTCTCTAAGACAGTTTTTAACATCCTTTGGGTGACCAGACTTTGTGACTGACCTGATTTACTTTCTGTTTTCATATAAATTAAGGCGTATCTCTTTTGTTGGTGTAAAAGAATTTTGTAGACAAATATAAACAAGCCGAGGAAGTTTGAACGTCGTCACTTCGGTTGGAAAAACTTTCGAGAACACAAAATAACTCACGTGCTACTCGACCGTGTCTAAAGTCACCATAGACGCGTCAAGTGCATGAAGGTCTTCTTCTTATAGGACGTAGAAAGTACCTATAAAGTTTAACCCCGTCTTTCACGTAGGGTCCGATACACCAGTCTACCACTCTTCTGACACCAAGGCGTCAAAAGACACCTCCACTGTCCTCACCTCAAAAATTAACCTGGACTTGTCTTGACTAGATGCACCTCTCTAATAGTTTGCCGGGATAGAATTCCTGAAGTTTCCATCTCTTTCTTTTGATTTGTGACGAAGGTCCATGTGAAGAAGTAGGCCACATAGTACCTATACCATTATGGATATAAAAATTTTAAGTATGTGTACTCAAAAGATAAAAAGGTTTAGAACATAACCTCAAAAACCCCTAAAATTTCCTTCTCGAAGTGAGAAGTTTTCCTGGTCAACACGACATATGTTGTTAATGAAGTGGGACTCAAGAGTAGAGATTAAGAACTTCTTAAGTAGACAAAAGAACGTACGGAGGTACATTCGTGTTAGTTTGTGTACATTGTAAAGATTACTTAAAATTTCATTTACCCCCCCAACCCGCCACCACGCGCACAAATCCTATTTGCCGTCGTTGATATGTGGTTTTTTTGGAGGCTTCATCACCTCGATACGGACCTATTTACCTCTCTGAAACTAATATGACCGTACTCAACAAACCCCTCAACATTTACTTTCAACTATACAATTCCGATCGTCCCTTGCGGTCCTTGTCTCGTCCTCTGTCTCCGTCCTCAAAGTTCGTGTTATTACTTCAAATAAAGATGTTGTAATGACCCGACATCCGTCCCCCCCAGGTTCCCTCCCTCCCCTGGCTCCAGAACTGGTCCACCA